GGTTCAGACTGCTGGATTTCAGTGGGTAGCTGTTGCTACGACAGATACCGGTGTCCCTCACTGTGACATGCAAAGCACCTATAAAAAGGCCAGCAGGAGAGCTGGCTGTGGTAGGGAATGCCATCAATCTCTGCACGCGGAAGGCAGGGTCAGGCGGATCTCTGTGAGAGCAAGGCCAGTGTGGTTTAGGTGTGAGTTACAGGCCAGCTGGGGCTAGACAAAAAAACTATTCAAAAAAAAAAAAAAAAAAAAAAAATTACTTTTCTAATTTCCGCAGTCTCCGAACTAATGAATGAAAGAGAGGGAGAGGGAGAGAGAGAGAGAGGGAGAGAGAGAGAGAGCCAACAAGCAGAGATAAGGTGCTAGCTCAGTCAGTAGAGTACTTGCCATGCAAGTATGAGGCTCTAGTTTCGATCCCCAGCAACCACTTAAAATCAGGCATGGCGGGATGCACTTGTAGTCCATGCCTTGAAGGCAGAGACAGGAGGATCTCTAAGGCTCACTGGCCAGTCAGGGTAGCCTAATTGGCAAGGCCAGTAAGAGACCTTGTCCCCGCAAAGTGGTCATTCACACAGCTAATATTTCTAGTATGAACATACATGTCATAATTTATAAATTTATGATGATATCCATTTCTCACAGAGTGGTTGTTACAAACAGTGGGTGAGAAAAGTCATCCAGGTGTTGATGAGCCTAGTAAATTAGTCATACACCAATATCTGATATATTTGACCCCTTTTTATTATCAACTATATTTTGTGCTAAAATAACAATCAGAAATCTGAGTAACAAAGATGCCTAGAAGCAAGATGTTTGTGTGCACTTAATGATCTTAGATCACTCACTCTGTGATCACATAAATTGAGGGCGTGAAAAAATAAAAAAGTAAATGTTCTAAAGAAGGCATCTGCATCGTGCAACCGCTGGGTTTTCACTCTGTATAGAATGGAAAGCATCTGTCTTTGAAATCATCAGTTACTCCACAGAATTAAGATAAAGGATGTGTGCACAAACGGGAAAAAATGACCAATGTTAAACAAATTCTTCTTTTCAAAAACTGTTCACATATTTCATTTGTTTCATTTTCTTTTTCTATTTTGCCATACGGGGAATGGAACCCAAGGTCTTCCACATGTACTGAGGGCAAGCACAATAGTACTGAGCTACAGTCCCAGCCCCAAAGCATTACTTATTATTACCAGCACTAAGGATGAAATGCAGCTCTTGTCCATGCTAGATAAGTATTCCAGCTCTGAGCTCCAGTCCAAGAGCCCAAGAGCACCATTTGCTTATTATTTTTGTTGTTACGGTAATTTGAAGTGCTGGGGATGGAATCCAGGGCTTTGCACATGACAAGCAAGTACTCTACCACTGGGTTACAGTCCCAGTGCAAGGGCATTATTTATTATTATTATTATTGCTGCTATTACTATTATTTTCAGTGCGAGGGAGGAAATCCAGGTCCTTGTGCATCCATGGGTAAGTATCCAACCGCTGAACTGCAGGCCAGCCTCGTAAATTTAATTTTGTATTAAGAGTTCAGTGATAACTCATGTATATAACAAAGGCATGCTGGAGGTGTGGCTTGCCTAGAAGGCATGTCACAGGTTCAGTATCTAGCAATGTAAAAATCAAAAACCTGGACATGAAAGATGGCTCAGCGGTTAAGAACACTGACTGTTCTTGCAGAAGACCCGGGTTTGATTCCCAGCACCCACATGGCAGCTAACAACTGTAACTCAGTTCCAGGGGACCCGACAGCCTCTTCTGTCTTGTGCGGGCATTGCACAATGTGGGTGCACTTACCTGCATGCAGGCAATACACTCATACACATAAAATAAAAATAATGAATAAAATATTTAAAAATCAAAAGCCTACAGCTGCCCGTCAGAGGCTGCATGAATCTAAAGACAATGGACCTGATTATCTTCTGACTTGTCTGTGGAAATGACGTGGAGAAGGACAGCATCTGCGTAGTAGATTGGACTGCACTAAAGTTCACAGTCAGGTCTCATTACAGGGAATTGTGGCTTCCCGTGAGTGGATTCGTAGCAGCCAGCAGGGGGCAGTCTGGAAGCAGTTATGGAAGATAAATATGCAAGGAAACCCTATGTCTGCACCCAGGTCAGATGCCCATGGCACCAATTTTTGTGGGATTATGTGTGTAACCTTGCAGGATACATTACCTCCTTCTGAAAGTCGTTCATTAAGTAAGGGCAAACATTTCTGAGACTCTGCCACTCTTAATAGCTACTATCATCATAACTGCATTTCTCGAAAAAAAATCAAGGATTAGTTTCTGAACTCTTTGAGAGCAATCGATAAACAACCAGGGGGAAGCCAGTGGCCCCAATGATATCAGCTTCGCAACGCAGTATATAATGAAACCAGCTTGTGTTGATTATTTGCTAGTAAAAGGGTCCTGAGTGCAGGCTCTGATTTGAACGTAGATTTCTTTTCTTAGCCGCGTTCCCTTACTGTCCAGACGATCTGGGGAAATAAGTTTAACATTCTTCTTTCTTGTTTTTTTCATCTTTTTAAAGTTTTGGTTTTGTTTAACAGTTTCATATATGTACACACTATATCTTGAGCACATCTATACCCGGCTATGCAGGTCCCACTCTTCCTGATCCCTCCCAACATGCCCCCCGGCCCCCGACACACACACCTTCATGTAGTCTCTTTTCAAATCCCACAGGGTTCAACTAGTGTCAGTGTCGTCCATTGGTGTAAGGGCATGAGCTCACCCCCTGGAGCACAGAAAACCTACCAAAGAAAACTGAGTCCTTCCCCGCTAGTAAGCATCAATGACCAATGGGTCCTGAGCCTAGGAGTGAGGCCTCATGAGCCCCTCCCCATCCTTACTGAAACATTGACTGGCTCAATACCGTGCGAGTGAGCACAGCTATAGTGAACGCATGAGTACGAGAGCCATGCCATATCCAGAACAGCGCGTCTCCAAGCACCCATTCCCATGCCCTGCGTCTCACAGGATCCCTTCCTATCCCCTGGCTCTTCCATTTCTTTCTGCCTCGTCTTCTTCAATGTTCCCTGAGCCTTGGGGCAGCGGATATGCCTGACCCATCTAAGAGCACTCAGTCCCCCTTTATTTTAGCACCTTGCCCAGTTATGAGTCTCCGTATCAACGTCGGCCTACTGCGAGATGAAGCCTCTCTGACCCAGGTGGAGAGCAGCACTTACCTAGGGGTATAAACATCTAGAAACAAATATCAGTGTCAGAAGGCAGTCTGGCGACATCAGACCTTGTATTAATTTGCAGCTCTGCTGCTGTAGTAAAGCACTGGCAAAACCCAACTTGGGGAGTAAAGGGTTTACTTCCTTTCACAGTTCATAGGTCCCAATCTGCCACTGAGGAAAGTCGGGGTGGGAAGTCAAGGCAGGAACCTGGATTCAGGAAGTACAGGGCAGACCATAGAGGAATGCTGCTTACTGGCTGGCTCCCCTGGCTTGCTCAGCAACGTCTCTTTTTATTTTATTTTACTTTTTATTGGGCTTTTGTAATTTCAAACACCAGCTCTTACTCCAATTTAGTCCCCCTCCCCCATCCATGTCCCCCATTCCCCCCAGCTACTTTTCTTATACGGCCCAGGCCCACCTGCTCGGGACTGCCACTGACATCGATTAGCATCCAAAAACTGTCTCCCAGGTATGCCCACAGGCCAGTCTGCGGGACGCACCTGCGATTGAGGCTCCCTCTTTCCAAGTCTCCAGTTTCTGTCAAGTTGGTCCAAACTCAGCACAAATGGGTCCAGGTGGAAAAACACAATGCAGGCTGCCCATCAGCTCCCAATCCTTGCCCCACAGCATTCACCACGCTGCCCATCACTGAGGGATCAACGACTTCCATTCCACCATTCTGTCTCCCACAAATGTGGACGGGGAGAAACAAGATGCTACCACGTCTGTCTGAACAGCGGTTATGGAAAGGCTAGTGCTGAGGGCTGCCATATTTCACCATGATATACACACAGGGGCTGTGGACTTCCGGACAGGACACGGGGCAGTAGATGCAAACTGAGTGCCAATCCCAAGATGCTTGAACTGCGACCAGGAAACCCGGCCTCCAAAGCTTTTCCTTTCCCTCCCACCAGCCTCCAGGCTGCTCACCTTAGCTCCATTCTCTAATTTTAAACTACTGTCTCAAATAAGAAGGGCAATGTATATACCCCATAGAGGAGGACATTGTGAAATTACCTCACATACTGAATTTTGTGTGACATTTCAAACCCACCCTTTGAGCAAGTATACTACAATAACAATTTGCTTTAGTCATATGTAATGAATGATTTCCCGACAGGACACGGGGCAGTAGGTGCAAACTGAGTGCCAATCCCAAGATGCTTGAACTGCGACCAGGAAACCTGGCCTCCAAAGCTTTTCCTTTCCTCCCACCAGCCTCCAGGCTGCTCACCTTAGCTCCATTCTCTAAATTTAAACTACTGTCTCAAATAAGAAGGGCAATGTATATACCCCATAGAGGAAGACATTGTGAAATACTTATGTGAAATGGGTGGAGTGAACTCATTAGCATAAGATTACCTCACATACTGAATTTTGTGTGACATTTCAAACCCACCCTTTGAACAAGTATACTACAATAACAATTTGCTTTAGTCATATGTAATGAATGATTTCTGCTTTTTCTCTCAGCTGAGAAAGCATTCTTAACTAAGCAATGACTCTCAAGAATAGAACCATAAAAATAGAATCAATTATTTTTCCATTTTATAATAATCAAATGTCAAAAGAGTGTCATTTCAAGAACACAAGAAAGTTGCTTCTTTGTTAATTTTCTGTCACACAGGATTTGGAATAAATAAAAAAATACATTGCAGTATAGTTCACAACTGAAATGTTTCCAAGGAGGTGTGTGATGATGGCTCAGTCCTTAGCAGGTGCTGCTACTTGGGGGGGGGGGGAGCAGAGGACAGGACAGTATTCCTGAACAGGGCAACTTCTTCGACATGGAACTTATGTAGTTGAACTGAACCGTGTGTGCAAAGGACTCTGTACAAGGCTCTCCAAGCAGCACTTGTCTAGCAAGTCATGGGTTCAAAACCCATTACTCCAAAATAGACAATAATAACAAAATACAGGTTCCCCTAGACTATTGCTTTGCTGGAGCTACTGTGAAATTTGTAACAGTTTATCTGCCAACATGGGTTGGAAGATTCCATCTGCTCTTGCTCACCACCTCTCAGACACGCCCCACGAGCACATAGTAACAGCAGACCCAAGCTGGGTGATGGAATACTGAGTCAGTTAAGAAATATGTTCCCTGGTGAGTTTCTGTCAAAAGACCTCCCTCAACAACAACGACAGGAAAAACAAACAAAAAAAACAGGAAGGAGGCCTTGAACACATCGTCTTCAGGGACACTCAAACCACAGCAATCCTATGCCAGATGGCCACTGTGCCCCACGGCCATGTCAGGGACCAAAGGACCAACCGACCATGGATGGAAATCTGGACAGTAAAGCCAGAAAGAACTTTCCACAAGCCGACTACTGCAGGTACTTGTCACAGTAACCCCAAGCTAACACAAGCAGTATTTCCCTAGGATTTGGAGGCAAATATGAAAAAGATTTTTCCACTGATAAACACAGCACAGCGTGACACTTGAAATAAAAACAAGGGCAAGAAAAACAGAAAACTAATATGAAAAAAAAAAAGGTAGTTTCACAAACTTTGTGGCCTGCTTGGTCCAGTGATACACGTTAATCTACCTCTAAACTTCTGAAATATTAGCATTAGCATTATTTTCTTCAGGAAACAAGGCTCAGATACATGAAACATGCCACGTGCAGGTGCCTAACTACAACCCCCCTGTTGTACGTATTAGCAACCTTCACTTTCAATAGGCTAAGGAAGCAGAATCACAAACAAGGCCACCCTAGGAGCTACGCAGTGAGAAGCAAAAATCCTGAAAACAAACAAGCAGGGGCTGCAGGATGGCTCAGAGAGGAAGGGTGCTGAGATCTGAGGACTCTCAAGCTGCCTGTAAGTCCAAGTCCAGGGCACCAGCAGCCCTCTTCCGGGCTCTGTATGCAGTACATCCACGGTCACAAAAGCAAGGAGACAAACACGTATACATGATTAAAAAATACAAAAATTAAAAAACCAAACTGTGCATGATTCTGTCCTCTGTCATGTGAGCACCTCAGAGGGGAGGCAGGACGGCAGCCACAAGCTCACGGCTGGCCTGGGCTACAGAAGGAGGCCTTGGCCCAATAGACAGAACAAAGCAAAGGACATACACAACACACACTGAAACCCGCAAACAAATAAAAGAAAGGTAGGTGAGGGCATTCCGAAGACAGACTCTAACGCAGGCCTGGAAGGAGAAGAACGGCTTCGTGGGGCAGAAAAATGGGACAAGACATCGTGGCAAGAGAAGACAGCAAACTAAAGCCAAATTCATCTCCTGGCTTTTCTTTGTTGTGTTTTCCAGATATGCCGAGGGAGGCTAGTCGTAAATTTATTTAACTTTATTCAGGCCTGAAGACAAGTGATTAGACACAGGATTTATCTGGACTTTAGATCTTGAAGAGTAGTAAGATCATGTTCCACAAGTTCGTACCTACAGGGCACTCCTTCTACAAGAACCCCTTTCGCAGCACAGGTTCCAGGAAAGGAGCTCATCAAACAGAGCTTGTGTTGTGACTCATCGATAGGGAAGGCTAAGTGGAATTAATTATTAGGCTTTCTTTTCCTTTTCCGGACATGAACGACTTCTCTAAATGCTGTAAATAAATAATGTGACACATTTATTAACTGAACATTTTTAATGAAATGACAAATTTGCACAAAAATGAACACAAATGACAACTTCTAAGTAGAGGAGGAACTAAAGCACAGTATGAATCAGAGGCTTGTAGCAGGCAGATGGCACCATGCTTGACACATGATAGGACATGATTTCAGGGCTGGAGAGATGCCTCAGAGGGTAAAGCATTTCCTGCACCAGTATAAGGACCTGGGTTCACATCCCCAGGACCCACATAAATGCCAGGCAAGTGGGGCGGTCCACCTGAAAGCCCCAACTTTGAGAAAGCAGAAAGTCAAGCTTTCTGGGACAAGCTGGCTAGCTCCGTGTTCAACTGAGAAATCCTGCTTCAGTATAAATGGTGGAGAGTGACTGAGGAAGAGACGTGACATCAGCGCTGACCTTCACAAGCACACGTCACGCATGCATGGTACACCCCCCGCCACATCTCATTTTATTGATGTGTTTTTAGAAAGATGTAGGGAAGGTCAGCCTGATTATAAGCTTTGGAATTATGAAGACCTACGTTTACAGTCACCGCCTGTGTGTGGAGGTAAAAAAAAAAATTATCCCTTCATGTTCCATGTATCATAAATTTCTAGTTTTCATCACGTCTGTAAAAGTCTTTGAAATATAAAGGACTGGATTAGAGGAGACGGGGAATACGGGTGGGTACTAATTATTACTAGTGTGGGCCCAACACACAGAAGTAGGTACTTAGAAAAACAAGACATTTTCCATGGGATCCAGGACCAAATGTCTGGACCTTTAATCTGGAATATTAAAAGTAACCAGTCACTTGCAGGTAATCTACATGCAGCCTCTGAGATATTTTAAGTAATGTCTAGGTGATTTTTATGATAGCTAATACTATGTTAGTGCAGTGCACATAGTTACAATATATTGTTTAGCAAATAATGTTATAAAAAATGAAAAATCAAAAAAAAAAAAAGAAAGAAAACAAACAATTTTCAGCAAATGTTGGTTGTAGAACTCAAAGATGCAAAGTGTTCCTGAAGGCCTCTGACCGTGCGTTAGACTTTGGCCCATGGATTATCACAGCATCAGTCTCCCAGAGATGCAAGGACAACCATAGGCCAAGGTCTTTGATTCTCTCTTTGATGTAGGGTAACAACAAAACTAAACCTTTCATCCTGGGATGCTTCTTAGGCTAACAGCACAAGTCCATCAACTTAACACAGAGTATTTCGACAAATTTTCTAAAGCATTAGGCACCACAGCACTCCACCTGTTCGTTACTCAACAGTATTACTTATTGGACATCGATAATACCTCCCCAATAACCCTCTCCGCTATAAGAAAGTTATCTGAGGGACTGAAGGGATGCTTTATGTCTGTTCAAATGTCAGACCATGAGCAGCCATGTCGAGAGAGGCCCTGTTCCACAGGAACAGTCTCTGTCTGGTGAGGAGTTTTTTGTTGTTCTTGTTTTGTTTTTAAAGATTCAGGGCTCTGTAATACATTGTTTTCTCACCTCTACCACCTGGCACCCAAAGTTTGACCCCACTGTCTCATATACACTAAGCACAGATGTGTGAAAGCTCATCTGCTCTGCCTTACACTTACCTAAGGCCACATCAAAAGCACTGTCAAGGAATTATACAGAATAATAATATGGGAAGCACCCACAGGAAAAAGCCTTTGAGCTCAGTATACATTTCATACGCATCTGCATCCTGAGGAGCTGTCACCACACGGAGACCTGTCCTTCGCTGTGCATTCCTCAGCCGCAGCTCCTTTCCCTCTGAAGAATATTTTCAGGCCAGCTCCTGAAATCTAGTCATGCATCGACAACTTTCACACTCATTGTCTGCCTTTGTCCTTAGAGATACTCAAGCACGGAAAAGTGGAAAAGTTCCTCTGCATCTGCAGCTTCCAAAGGGGAATTCTAAGCAGTGACTGAAAAAAATCCCCTACTAGGCAGTAGTAAATAAACCATGTATAGGGTCTGTGTAAGCATGGGTTACTTGATGCCCTTGTGGAAAGGGCAGGACTCACACAGGGTCCATTGAGATTAAAATGCCTGCATCCAATCTGTTCATCAGGATTAATTACTCACAATTTTAAAGGAGGGTGACAAGTATGAGGAGTTAGGAAGCAGGATGGGGAGGGCATTGCAAAGACCATGGTGGCATAAACAACAGAATTAGTAATGTGTTATTATGCTAAGATCACTGGGCACTGTGGGATGTACCTTTCATTCCAGCACTCAGGAGGCAGAGGCAGGAACTCTCCGATTTCCAGGTCAGCCTGGTCTGTACAGAAAGCTCCAGTCCACACCGGGCTACATGGTGAGATCTTGTCTTTAAAAAAAAAAATACTATTGCATACTATAGGCCACACTACAAGCAAAGTAGCTTGGCAGGAGAGACTGAGGGCTGAATTTTACTTCCTCTCGATTTCTATATTGACTCTATAACACTACTTTCATTTTAAAATATTGTATTACAATTTTACGTGTATGAGTGTATTGCCTATATGCACGTCAGTGTCTGCAGAGGTCAGAAGAGGGCACCAGATTCCCCTGAAACTGGAATGATGGATGGTTCTTAGCGACCGTGTGGGTGCTGGGAATGGAAAACAGGTCCTCTGGAAGAGCACTCAGTGCTTTTATCTGCTGAGCCATCTATCCAGTCCCCTCTAACACTGTCTTTAATGATATTTGCTGATAAGGACTTTGGGAGGTAATGTTACGTGGGGACATAAAGGACCAACAACCTTCATCGCCATCACAGAAAGAGTGTGCTGGACAGCTTTGGTTGTCAGCTTGACACACCCGGGTAGAGGGAGCCTCAAATAGGGAACTGCCTCCACGGGAGTAACCTGTGGCCATGTCTGTGGGGCATTTTCTTGTGAGTGATGTGAGTGGGCCCAGATAGCTGTGGGTGGTGCCGCCCCTGTGCCGGTCATTCTGTATTGTATAAGAAACCAAGTTCAGCAAGGACCAGGAGCGAACCAGTAAGCAGTGTTCCTCCATGGCCTGTGGTTCAGCTCCTGCCTCCAGGTTCCTGCCCTGAGTTCCTACCTTGGGCTCCCTGATGAACTGTGACCCTGGAGATGTAAACAAAACAATCCCTCTCCTACCCAAAGTGGTACTGGTTAGAGTGTTTTGTCACAGCAGTGGAGAAGCAAACTACAACAAAGAGGAACATCCTCCCTCTTCCTCCTTCCTCCTCCCGTTTCTCCAAAATATGAGGACAGAAGGAAATTTGCTATCTATAAGTCAGGTACAGTCCATACTGGGAACAGGCTACTCATTAATCTTGTTCATCCGGGCCATTACTAAGTAAAATAAGGATTACTTGCATGTAATTACAATAGCACTACACTTGATTGATATTCTAAATGGCTACTCCATCACTATCGAATGGGTACTGTATACAGTGTGGATACACCAGACAAAGTGATTTATCACATATGGACTCAGGGAGACCAGGATCACAGGAGATGTCATTACATGACTCAGAGTGACAAGCCATTTAAAACTTAGCAGGTTTGGGAAACTTTCCATTTAGTATTTTTGGAGCATAGTGAACCTTGGACAGCTGACCTAGAGAAAGCGTGAATGGGAGAGCAGCTGCTACAAGTCAAACCTTGTGTGGCACAGGAAAAGGGCCGTCGGGCCTGGGCAGTTCTACGTGCTGTTGAGGGTGACTCCCTCATTCAAAGGCTTTTCTCACATCGAGCTCGCAAGATTGCCCATTGGATGGCTGTCAGCCCACTGGACTCTGCATCCCTGATCAAGGCTGAATTCTCTTCCACTTTATAGCCCTTGTGCAAGCATGACACTTGCTGCAAAACAGATGCTTAATAACTGTATGATAAATGATTAAACAAATAAACTACTTCAAGACTTAATTACTAAGGAAAATAGAAAAGCACTATTAAGCAAGTTAATTACTTCGCAAATGTTGTTAAAGGGCAATTACATTACTATGTACGTGGACCAGTATGGTAATTTACTTAAATCCAGCATCCAAAACAAATACGTATTGATCACACACTAGGCACCAAGCGCTTTGCTTTGTAGTTAGATGACAAAGGTGATGAATTTAGGAAATAAACATGGTATTCTTCTCTATATGGGGTGCTGAACTTTCTAAGCATTTACATGGAAACACAATCTGAAATAGAAAATGAAAATCAGGGACCAAACTTTACATTTTAAGAGTTAAACTACTAAGCATTTGGATGCTCGGTGAGACTTACAATCCGTGAACTCACACTCTGGTGGGTAGGTATGATGAGAACCAATATTCCCTTCATTCCCTGAAATGACCGATTCCAAAGTTTTTATATTCTCCAGGCCCCACACAAAGTTTTCACCTTGTTGAATCAAATTGCTGACATGGCACACACACACACACAGAAATTATTGCTCTGCTAATGTCACCTCCAAGATTTTGATTCTGTGAATCTTGTTTCACCTCAAGCTTTTGCTGCCACATGCCTCTTAACTTAAACTTGGGCCAATTCTCTTCAGTCGATACAGGCTGCTGTATCGGTATGAACTTTAGAAACCACAGTTCTACTTTCCACATTTCAGGAGGCCGGGGGACCGCAATCTGGTTCCTTTCACTTTACACACCAACATTTTGTGAATATACTTGTGTTTTTACATACTAGAAAGTCTTTTTTTTGGGGGGGAGGGGTGGTCTCAACTCAGGAGCGGCTAGTACTCTTAACCGTCAAGCCATGTCTCCAGTCCACAGCATGCCTGCACATATGTAAGTGCACATGTGCCCTGCATTGCACAAAAGCGAGAGGAGAGGGCTTTGGATCCCTGGAAGTCCACTCACAGACGGTTGTTAGCAGACTTGTGGGTAGTGGGAATCGAATCCGGGTCCTTAGCGTGAACAGCCCATGCCCTTAACCGCTGTGCCATCTCTCCAGCCCCTCCAAGCGTTTTAAGAAACAAAAACAAAAAACAAGAACACCGAACGCCTTCCATAAAAAGCTGAGGTTCGTTCAAGCCCAATTCTGAACCGGCCCTAACAGTTTGACCTTCCAGGAGTGCTCTAGAGGGCAAAAAGGGCTGAGAACCGCTTCCGGAAAGCAGAAGCCAGGGGGGAGCCAGCACTTCCGGAGCACGGCTGCGAAGGGTCATTAAAGGTCAGCGTTTCGTGGCCGCAGGCCGAGAGCATCCGCGCAAAGCCTTGCGAGGATTAAAGGCCACGTCTAGTCTCGATGATGACATGACGCTACAGGGAAAAGCCCTGGCTCGCGAACACCGCGGTCCGGCGGCGGGCGGGATGCCGCCATATTGAATGCGGCGGCTTCCGTGGAGCGGGCGGGGGAGGGGCGACGCCCTTATGACGTCACAAAGCCGCGCGCGGAGCGGCCGCGCCAATCGCGAACCCGAGACCTTCTGGGGCGGGAGCGCGGCTAGCGCGGCTCAGTTCCGACTGGCCAAGCAGCGTTCAGAGACATTCGGGTCCCGCCTCTTTGTTCAGCGTTTGAGGCGGGGAGATAGGGGCGGGCGACCCGGGATTGGGCGGAAGTGCTGTCAACACGGAGATGCGTCCGGCTGGCTTTGGTAGGCCGGGGATTCTGGGACCCCGCCAGGAGGGGAGGACCCAGGCGGGTCCCGGCGGGCCGTCCTGGGGGTGGGGACTGTTTCAGCCGCAGCCTCAGTTCTTTTTAGTCCAGGCAGCCGGGGCGGGGCCACGAGACTACCCCCACCCCCACCCCCACCCCCGCGGTCACCTGGGAAATGGCCACCCACATCCCTCCCCTCTCCTTCCGCACCTGCAAAATGAAGTCAGAGCTCCCGCTGGGGCCTACAACGTGGCTCCTTCTCTGTTTCACTCAACAATAGCTTCCCCTGCAGCAGCTGGGCCTCCTCCCCGCTTCCAAGGCACCGTCCCTCCCCCCTTTGGAGGTCCTGAGCCTAAGCCACCGTACCGACGCCCCCATTGGAGGTCCTGAGCCTAAGCCATCGTTCCCTCCATTAGAGGTATTCAGCCTAAGGCACCGACGCCCCCATTGGAGGTCCTGAGCCTAAGCCATCGTTCCCTCCATTAGAGGTATTCAGCCTAAGGCACCGACGCCCCCATTGGAGGTCCTGAGCCTAAGCCATCGTTCCCTCCATTAGAGGTATTCAGCCTAAGGCACCGACGCCCCCATTGGAGGTCCTGAGCCTAAGCCATCGTTCCCTCCATTAGAGGTATTCAGCCTAAGGCACCGACGCCCCCATTGGAGGTCCTGAGCCTAAGCCATCGTTCCCTCCATTAGAGGTATTCAGCCTAAGGCACCGACGCCCCCATTGGAGGTCCTGAGCCTAAGCCATCGTTCCCTCCATTAGAGGTATTCAGCCTAAGGCACCGACGCCCCCATTGGAGGTCCTGAGCCTAAGCCATCGTTCCCTCCATTAGAGGTATTCAGCCTAAGGCACCGACGCCCCCATTGGAGGTCCTGAGCCTAAGCCATCGTTCCCTCCATTAGAGGTATTCAGCCTAAGGCACCGACCCCCCCCATTGGAGGTCCTGAGCCAAAGGCACTGTCTCCCCCTCCCCCCCATTAGAGGTCCTGGCCATATGCCTCATGTCAGAGTCTGAATAGCGACCCTTAAAGCGCCCTAAGAAACCGTGAAGACCTGAGAAAGGGCAGGGCCGGCTCCTGGCTCATGATTTCATTCCACCACTCTGGTTTTGGAAAGCGACACAGCCCTTTCATATTTACATGTGACACAAGTCTGTATAAAAGAGACGGGAATGACATTTCACAAAGCCGCCTGCTACCTTCCCCGGTGAGGATCTCCGTTTTTCTTTTTAAATTATTATTAGTGGTGGTGGTGGTTTTGAAACAGGCCTAGAGCTTCCTGTGTGGCTGAGGACCTTGAGGCCCTAATCCTCCTGCGTATACCTCGATGCTGAAATTATTGTGGGGGAGGGGGGGATTGTGCTTTTCTTGACAGTTGGTAATGAAATGCACTGTATTGTAAAATAATAGTTTGTTTACCTTATGGGTCAACTGTGTGTATCAGTGTTTTGAAAGCAGCCAGAACCTGTGTTTCAAATTTAAAGTAGTGCTTTGAAAAAACAAATGAACCGATGACCTCAGATTTGATGCAGGGTCTAATAACTTTTCCCCCAAGCAAACAAGAAACGAAGGGCAGTATCAATTTTTTACATCTGTTCCTTGCCAAGTAACTATTAGGTGGCATCCTCTCTGTACTAAACAAATAGGAAGTTTTTTAAAACTTAAGACCATATTGGGTCCAGGTGAGAAGGCCAAAGAATAAAGTTCTTGAAAGAGTCCTGGGTTTGAATAGAATCCAAAACAACTGTAGTTCAAAGAAAGCATTGTAGGTTAAAGGAAAGCCAGGGAACGAAAGCTGGTTTTGGATGATAGAATGCTTGGGCAGCTGACCGCAGTTTTTTTCTTTATAAGGTTGGGCAGTCTCCTGCTAGAATGAAGAACATCAACTTGTCCTTCGCAGCCTGTGGGTTTCTGGGCATCTACCACTTGGGGGCAGCATCGGCATTGCACAGACACGGCGCTAAACTCCTGAAGGATGTCAAGGGTTTCGCAGGGGCTTCTGCTGGATCCTTGGTTGCCACGGTTTTGCTAACTGCACCGGAAAAGATAGAGGTAATTAAGTCTTAACCAGGCTGGGTTCCTCCTCTGAAAATCAAATCGGAATGTAAAAAGAAAAAAGAGTGCCCACCCATAGCAAGTATATTTTGAACAGGAGTCATGCTTTGCCTGGAAAACAAAAGGTTAATTTTTTTCCCTTTAAAATTGGTCTGTGCTGTGGGTTT